ATCCAGTGTTATGGTCTTAAGGTATCTTTAAAGTAACATGAAGTTAGCATGCGTTACAAGCCCATTATTTTAAAAGCACAGCTCAGAAGTCCCAACTCCAATTATCTACATTAGTTCAGCAACTTAGCCACTTAAGAATGGCTCCATATGTTCATAATTGTCAAGGAGCCATTTCACTATTCCATTGGTAGGGGAGATTTTTGGGTATATAAGAATTGAATTGGCACTTACAGGATTCCCATGTGAATGAAAATCAGACAACTGAAAAGGATCTTCTTGTTGTTTTTCATTTGAATGCATCTCCGAAATAGAAACTTCATCTTCCTCACACTGATCTTCTCCATCATGGCCCTTTTTCGCTCTTGCATTAACTGGTTTTGACTAAAATTGGAGAATACAAATACTGATTAATGGTCTAGTATTTGATTCATAGTCGATTGATATTAGCCAAACATAAAGAATTTTCTCCATCAAACCAAGATTTCAACTGAAAAATAACGAAATAAATGATATAGCAAACAACTTATTATAGTTGGATTTCTTTCTGGTATGTATGTTGTGATGGGACTGTACATTAAATTTCAGCTCTCCTGGTAAACATAGCATATGTTCCCTCTTTTTCCTTGTGAATAAACAAAAGAATTTGACCCCTTCAGATTCTTTAAAGAAAATGTGTTGCACAAATGAAGGGAGAGAAAGGAAGCAAAGAGCAGACAAAATAAGTGAAGCAAAAAAGCTACATACCGCATTTCTAAGCATTAGACGGACCCTAAGGCCACTCCTCCAATTTCCCTCATCGTTAAGCTCCACAACCTGCAAAGTTAAGATGTTTATCCATTTATTATAACTACAGAATGTTTTTTTTGTTGATAAAAACTACAGAATGTAAAATGGGCCATTCCATAAAAATCCGGGTACTTACAGCTTTCTCAGCCAACTCCACAGATTCATATTCAACAAATGCATGCAACTACAAAAGAATAAAAAAATAAAAAATTAAAGTACAGACTAATGGTTGACACTTGTTAATACGGATAAATATAAAAATTATGACATATTTCCTTAGAAGTTGACCAAAAAAAGGAAGATATATTTCCATAAGAAATAGATAAAATAGCGGTATATCCATGATGAGCAAATGTACCTTGTTACTAAAATGCATGCCATCACCCTTTGATGACCTAGATGCTGAAGACACAGCGGGTTGAGGTTGACAGGTACGGATTGTTTTAACACTAAGAATGAAAGCATCAAGAGATTTTTGGTCCACGGAGACGGAATAAAAAATAGTTAGAAGTAAAACTTACTACCTAGAGTTTATAATTTTTCTAGAAAGGTAATAGTCTTGGTACCTCCCAACAGCAGAAAAAATCTTCATGAGGTTCTGATGGCAGTGGTCCTCAGGCAAATTTTCAGCAACAATTATACGAGACTACAAATCACAAGAATTCGAAGGCAATATGTAAAGACATTAGCATACATAAATTTATGATATAATATAAGCTACAAAAATATACAAAATTCTCATACAATGTTTTAAGATGATGCCTAACTAGAAAGACAAACATGACATTTACATGAAAAGTACATAATAAACTTGCATAAGAAATATGAATGGGAGAAATAAAATGAACAAAACCTACTTGCAACTCTTCCATATCTGATTCAGTAAGGGGGTGCAGGCGCTTTACTTTCTTTCCATCTTCACTCACTAACTGTACAATGTGGAACCAAAAAAGATTTAAGCAAGGCCATTGAGGAGATATGAATCGGCTACAACAAAAAGTAAAACATAAGGAACCGGATCCTTAAGTGCATGAAACATGAGTAGAAGGAAAATACTCACAAGCTTTGATGAGTTCCGTAAAACTGTAGCTAGTTTGGAATGAGTTGTTACAAGGGCTTTAATCTTCTTAAAGGATGCAACAACAGATATTGGCACTATATTGGAAACAAAGATCAATTTTAGTCCAAACCAACCTTTAAAAAACCAGACACACAGTCAAACCGATGAGACTTCCTATTTAATTGGTGTGAATGTGAATAAACTAATTCTAGTCTAAATATTTTTGCTCCATAATGCAAAAAATTCATACCATAACCTTCAGGATCCTTGTTGATGAACCTCATAAGATGATCTGTGGTGGCTAAGTTCAAATCACTAAAATAGTATTCAACCTGTGAAATAGATCGCGGAGTTTTACATTAAGGAAAAATTACAGTGGAACAGGACAGTGTAGAAGGCCACAATGAGAAAATTGGTAATAGTCTAATAGCTATCGTTAAAATAAATTCCTGAAGAGTATCACAACATCAGTCTAGAATTTAGTCATTTTGATTTACCTGTATCGGCCAATGATTAGTAAATCTTAGAATTATATTCTAGAATACAGCACAAGGAAATTCTAGCAGAATAATCAAAGGAATAAATACAAGTGATTGAAGGATCACATTAAGAATACAAGCAGTAGAAAAAGCGGCAGAGGAAACATTGATTCAGTGATGCTACTGACCTGATTCAAAATCTTTAACGTAGCTTCTTCGGATAGTCCCTTTTTGGAGGAAGCTGCACCATGATCCTTGTGCTCCTTCTGCTGATCTTTCTTCGCAACAGCTTCAACTTCTTGCTCTCGATGATGATGGTGCTGGTAAGGATTAGGTTGATGATTTCGCACGGACATGTGATGGTGTACGGGAACCAAGTGAGGTGGCATAGGAACGGGGAGGTGAAACGCCGCCCCGGCTGGTCCAGGAGGGGAGAATACATATGCATCATCCCAGGGGGTGGAGGAGGAGGTATCACCACGCTCATATTTTGCTGCTGCTGTTGCGGCGGCGGCACCGTCGAGCGAGTAGGCACGAACTCGGGCGCCTGGGCGTTGAGCCTGGTGGATGACAAGTTTCGCGACAGCTGTGGATCTGAAGAAGAAGAAGAAGCTAAAGATTGCGGAGAATCTCGGGTTTCCGGAAGGGCCATGATTTGAGGTTACAGAGATTTTAGAAGTTGGTGCTCTTTTTTATTCGGAAAATACAGTAAATAAAAAATAATTGGGGAGAGATGGGGCCGTAGGGCAGAGGAGATCAATCTTTGACTAATTAGGTTTACCGGCACATTGCCTGCGATGTGAGGCACTGAGGAGGAAATATTTCACTTCTACTTCGCAAAATATAAAAAGAAAATAATTTAAAAATATTTGATGTTACAACCTCTAAGTTTCATAATTTTTATAATAAATAAATGAAATAATTTATTTTATGTCAACTTAGAAAATAAATAATTGAATATTATTATTTATTCATTTATTATACTTTTAATTAAAATAATTTTAATTTTAATATTACATATTTATCATGTAGTCATGATTTTAGAAAATAATAATAAATTTTATTTTTATAAGCATATACAAATTTAATAACAATAATATTTTTTGGATGATTTGAAATAATTACAAGGTACTATATATATAACATATTTAAAATTTTTCTTAATCATTAATAATGCGCACACCTTACACAGATATAGTTATTTAACTCAAACGTCTAGAAAAACAACATTTTCTTTTATTATTAAGGTTATTCAATAAATTTTAATAATTATAATCAAATTGATAAAATATATAACTTCTTAATCCAATACCAATCAAAAAGTAAATAAATGACTAAAAATAAACATTAATCATTTATTATCATCGTCTTCACTTTTACGATTTACAGGGATTAAATTATTTATTTATTTTAAAAAATATAGTTTACTTATTCTTAAAATTAATACATATATACAAAATCTTTATATTAAAATATTTTCACATTATAAAAATCATTTTCTTTTTTAGTTTGTTTGAATGTAAGAAACAGACGGCGTTTTATTGAAGCAATGGATCCCTTAAATATAAAGGTGTGATCCTTTAGGAAACAAAACAACAAACTTCATGATTTGATTCCTTTTCTACCCAAAATCATCTGAATATCAATCTCCTAAAAGTTTGTTTGACAGAGAGAAGCAGCTACTTTTATTTTGAAAAATATTTTAAACTTACTGCGAAGGTTTACAATTAGAATTGTAAATTAAACACATAAGTGAATATTCTTCTATAATCATTGAGACAAGAAACTAACCACTTAAGATCACATATGAACCATATAATGAAAATATGAAAAACTCATCGAAAATACATCGAACAATAAGTAGATACAAATAGATTTGACTGCTATGACAAACGAACTACAATAAAATATTAAATTATTGAAAGACCACCACTGACGGACGTAAATCAAAATCAAGTATTGTGAGAATTTTGACGGTAAATAAAATCGGTGCAAATGAATATCTCTCGCCAATCCTACCACTGAATGACCTGATTACGTATTACAGATGGCAAGAGGAGACCTACCACTCCAACCTCTACTTCATCCAGCTCTGAACTATCCACCGCGAGATTCAAAATGTAAACTCGTCCCTATTCCAACATAATTATATATATTTTATTGACAAAATAGAGAGATGGTCTTAAAAAAACCCTATGAATTGGTTTTATAGCTAGTAATAGAATAGGAGACAATAACATCTAGGAGTTGGATTTGGTGTTGAATCCCTGGAAGCTGGAGGTTTTAAAAGTTCCTTCAAATGTGAGGAAAACCAAAACTATGACCCTTTCTTGAAGTGGATATGCCATATCAAAGAATGGTGAGTCACCAAGTCAACCATGTAATTATCTCAAGACAAATCGGATACTTTCTTCACATTACCCACACGGACCTACCCTAAACTCGGTTCTAAAGAAAACTCAACTCAATAGGATCGAAATCTGTCGGTTTCGGGGTTTTCTTATCAGTCCTAGATAGGAGCAATATGTCAAATACAAAAAGACTTGCTAAAAGAATAATTAGGGGCTAGGGAGGCACCAAGCTGCATAGATACGTAAATTTCACATAAGTTAAACTCAGGCTTCCTAGTTTACCCATGGAATATTATAATCCATTGGCTTTAGCTAAAATGGGAGCTATTGTTGGCCCAGGTAAGAGTTGCATGTGGTCGGTCTAGATACATAAATTTCACATAAGTTAAACTCAGCAGAATCCCACCAAAAAAATAAAAAATTTAAGCATCACAAATTTCATTGTATTATTTCCGCAAAGAAGGTAGAAGCCAAGTAAAGAAGCCAACGTTTGTTTCTCCCCTCAGTTTCTGGGATGAGTATTCTACCAAAATGTTCCAAAGGTCTCCAACATTCCATTTATGCGATAGAATCCACTGAGTCACCTGCCATGTGATGCCACAACAAAAGAGTTCTTATTAATGCACCAACTAAATATTGAAAAAGATAAGTTTTTAAGGATGAATTCACAGGGTTCAAAGCCATGCAACAGTAACAAAGGAATATAAAAAAAGCGAAAGAAATTACGTAAAACTTGTAAAACAGAGCTCTGATTATTCTAATGACCAGAGTTGAACTTACCAAGCACAAAGTATAATTTAAGGTAGCAAAATAACATGATAAAGACCCTTGATAATGAATACAAGAAATCTCATCTATCATGATGCTTCTAATCTAACAAGAACAAGCAGTACCTGGTCAAGACTTTGCAGTACCTCCAGACCAAAAGTGTAGTATGAGATGAAGGGTCTTAAAGCCTGAAACAAATGTAATCAGGAAGGGAAAGATCAATTTCAAAGAAACAATAGAAAAATGCATGGAAATGTAAATAAAAAAATCCTACTTTACATCACAGGTGTACAGTATTTAGTTATTCGCAAGAGCCTTAACTTTTGAGGACATTAGCATCTAATATGAAAGCTGTAAGGACAGAATAACTACCTGAGAAGCGGCAAGCCATTGAATCATGGCCTTCAGTTCGGAATCTCCTCCAAATGCACCACAGCCCCAATTTCCCGTTGCTATCCCGACATAATTTTCGGGGTCCTTTAATTGAACACATTTCTCATCAGACTTTCCAAGCTCCTCTGTCCTAAATTCTCCATTTGTCTCAACAGGCAGAAAAGAAGCTTCATTTAACTATAATACAGGAAAGTAACGATTAACATGCAACTTGATATAAGAGCAAATCCAAATTAACCAGAAGAGAACCCATATAACAGGACTTTTATGAAAAAATATGTTTTCAGGGATTAGCAATTAGGGAAATAAACACAACATTAGAGGTATAACAGTCGCAAGTAGCAGCAAAAGTTTGAGGTAAAAGAACTGTACAGGTCCCCCATACTGTAGTGCAGAATACATATCGGTCCTTTTACTTTTAGATTAAACACTAATGCCCCTACACATTAGAAAAATGAGCAAAATAGTCATTTTTGTAACAGTTGGGAGAAAAGAACTATTAATTTTAAGATGTGGTCTTAATCAAATGATGTGACATTAGTTTAAAATACGGTGTGGCATTTTGAGTAATATGACATGTTCACTTGGCCCATTGTAACTTAACCTAAAATCGTTGCATTTAATTAAAACTGTTCAGGTTAAACTACAGGGGATTGGAATGAACATGTCAGGTCGCTTAAAAATGCGGCGTTATATTTTAAATTGATTCCACATCATTTAATCAAGTCTATTTCATAAAATTAACAGTTTTGTTTTTCAACAACAAAAATAATAACTTTGATCATTTTCTGATGTACAAGGACTTTTTTGCTTGTTTTAAAAGTATAGGGACCAAAATGCACTCTGCACTTCAGTGCAAGAACCTCTACGGTACTTTACCAAACTCTGCCCCAGATATGTCACCATCATATTTATTTTCTCGATCAAGCTGACCTGCACTGAGTTCATGATCTTGAACAGTCTCTTGTACTGGATATACTTTGATTGATACAAAAAGCCACAGAATGCCTTATTAGTCTCCCTGCCAAACACACAAAGATATAGGTCGGACCATATATGAATTAAATTGGAAAAAAATAAATGTTTAAAATCTAATCAATATGCTTATAGAAACAAATCTCAGAAGTTTCACATTATCTATTACGAAAGCTTTTATCCAGCATATTGCATGCATAGTTGCATACATGTAAATCCATAAATGTGATTGACATAAAATAGACATTCTTCGTTCACAAAAGTTGCTTATAAAGATCCAATACGTTATTGCAACACACAATCCTCGTAGACAAGGGTAGTGCAAAATTTTCCTAAAGCTCTTTACTTCATGCATATTTGCAGAAAAAGCTTTTCTGTCTAGAGGAACAAAATTGCTCTGTACTAGGTTGATTTCTTTCTTAAATTTGGGTTAAGTCTCGATGCAGTGTTCTTAAAGCACCATCAGTCCCATCTGGAAACTTAATAGTAATTTTCTGTCCTACCGGCTGTCATCTGTTTTACTATTCATTTTTCTACAAACCTGGTATAACATAAATGTGAATCAAAACCAAAAATTTACATACCGAAGAAGGTAATTAAGTTTGTACTGCTTCATTCTTGGACTGCACAAAGCATCTATGGCAACAATTCTGGTTTTACGTCTTCCAAGGGAATCAACATTCCTTTTGTCCACATAGTCACCAGTAAACCGAAATGAAGAGGCATACCTACACTAGCTAAAATGGTATCATTATCATAAGTCAACTAAAAAAAATGGGAGAGTAAAGACAGTTAGTCATCAAACAGATACAGAACCCATGCAACATGAGTTTCATGACTTTTACAGCATGATAAATTTATATGAAAACCCAAATAGAAGTTTGTATACTTCAGGCACTATTATATGCGAGTAACTGCACTACATGCATATCATATAAAATGAAATACTCAATGCTACCAGATCTCTTTACAGGCTTACAGTTTATACCCTGTATAGTCAGAGAACCTCTCTGTTCCGACAATTTCTATAGCTTCATTGTCTGCCATCGAAGGCAAGAACAGCATGCCAGCAATCAGTTCGGGATTGATCATGAAGCGAATTTCTTCCTATTAAAAGTTTGGAAAACAATCAACCAGTAAACAATGTTTTTGGAAATAATTGATAGATTAAAAGGTGAAAGAATCAAGAGAAAAAAAATGGAACAGTAGTAGACAACTAACAGTGTCAATGAAGCGAAAAAGAAAAGTCATACCTGCACACAGCCCCTATTTAGAGCACCACCTCCTAGATATTTGTTTGCAAAATCCACTTCAAGTGTCCCAATAGCGTGATCTTCTATTAAACCTGAGCTGTGAACCTGTATCGTTATAGACAGATAACAGAAGGATTGGCTCACCACAATGATAGGATGTCGGTACAGAAAAAGACAGGCCAAGTTGTAATATTGAAATTTGAGTTTATAAATATGTTCTATAAGTCGAACTGTTACCTGAAAAGGGCACAGAGGGATAGTTGATTTGGTCCAAAAATCAGCATCTGGATAAGAAAGGCATGATTGCAAAGGATGGTGTCCTAAAGAGAGAAGCTTGCGCTCAAATGAGACAGATCCTGTAGGCATTTGCAAACATATCCTTTGGAAATAGTGCACAATGCACCTCAACTTATTTTCTTGGCTCTCACTATAACTTTCATAGAGACTCCTGAGAATATGTACATGTACATATAGCGTTCATTTAGTGTTTTGAATATAAGAAGAGAAAAAGGAAGCTTTGAAAGCAGGGATGGACCGAGGGGTTCTTGGAGGTGCGTTCTCACCCCCTGGAAATTTCAAATTCCTTAGGTATTTTCTTTGTATTTTCTACTGATAATTTAATTTTGCACCCCCTGAAATTTTATAATTTCATACGCCCTAAATTCCTAATATAAGTTCCTAAGTCCGCACCCCCTAACAAAAATCCTGCGTCTGTCCATGTTTGAAAGTAAAATTTCCAAGTGGCAACGTGCAGGGTAAATGCGTCAGATTGAAGAAGAGGGAGCAAAGATGAACAACAGCACAAGCAGAAACTAATGAGGAGAAGTGATGATTGATAGCAAGACAAGTTGCAAAAGAGAGTTGACATACGCAAACAATTGATCAAAGTTGATGGTTGGCAGATGTCTTGGACCTCTATCAGAGATTGGAAACAAACAAAACAAGAGCATGCAAGTAGAGCGGCGATCAACTCCTGAGATGTAGATTAGATATGAATCAAATTCAAGCATGAGACTTCTGAATTAAGCAGGCGAGTAAGTATTAGTATAGCATTAATAATAGAAGAGACAAATACAAAAAAAATACACCTGGGAGAGAAGCACCACGCCTGGTTGCTGCGGACCCAATATGCGGAGACCGTATCCATAAGGCCGCGTATTCTGATAGTGAAGGTCTATAAGGAAAGGCAAACGCAGTAGCAGATCGGCTAATTTAGGAATATCATCCTTAAACCAATTTGTGGAGTCGGCTCTGGATATGAGCTGCGCCGAAAATTCATTCCAGGAACAAGTAAACCAAAAACGAAAAGAAAAATCCTAAACCAAACAACCACTTCCATACCTCGTCGAAGAAGAGGGCGTATCCTTGAGGGGCAGAGGGAGCGAGGGGCTCGGCGAGGGAAAGAGAAGCTCTGATGTCGGAAATGGCGATGGAGAGGACTTCGCCGGAGTGGACTCGGCTGTGATCAGGACCTTTAGACATCGCCTCTAGAGCATCAACCACTTTGGATGGCCATAACAGACGACTCGAAGATCCAATTTGAAACGGTAGGTAGGGAAGGACCGACTCCAACTCTGCATTGTCTTCCATTTTTTCCTTTTCACGTTTGCACAAAGATTTTGGGGATTATGTTTTGTACTTTTTTTTTACTCTACCACGATTCTTAATTTTGACATTTGGTAAAGACAACTTCCAAATAAAAGTCTCTCTCTCTCTCTCTCTCTAATACACTGTTTGAATTCACCAAAAAAAAATGGAAATAAACTATATGATTTTTATGATATCTCTAATTCTAACAAATAATAGAAACGAACGTGATCGAAAATATTATAAAAATATAATAATATTTTAGGTTGAACGTAATAAAAGAATATTATTTCGTTCATAATATTTTATCGCGTTCATTTATATCGTTTTTTAACTTTAAATTATACTACGTTTTTTTAACTTATGCATCTAAGAAAAGGAAAAGGAAAAAAAATGAGTGTCTCATATTAAAATGAATGTTGTTCTTCTTACATTCATGAGTTTGAGCAATTATATTTGTAGATTATGTATACAATTATTAAGAAAAATTATGAATAAATATTATATTATAATTATCTTAAATTATCCAAAAAAAATAATAATGAAAAATATTAGAAATGTCAGCATGAAAGTGAATTATTTTAAGAATTAGTGACGTTTGAGCTGTATCGGAAAAATCATCGATTGTTATAATTATCTTTTGTGAAAATCATCTATAGGAGACTATATTTACTTTAGATTTTTTTTAAAAAAAAATTGAAAGTTGGTTATTGGGAACACTTTTGAGGACAAGTCGTTAACATCTGCTGATTAATTTCATCGAAAATAATTGTAGTAGTTAACGACTTCTTCTGATATTGTTCGAACATCTTCAATTATTTATATAATAAATCTTTTTTCTCACATCACTAATTTATTTTTTTCAACATATGTTTTTTACTAAATTTTATAAGAATGAAGTTAAGAGTAATTTTGTTAAGAAAATTATTAAGTACTTACCATTATAAGCCAAGAGAAGCAATTGCATCGAGGTCACGTGTGCAACCTGCAAATATAGATAATCCCTAATAGTATGTATAATTAATTGACTTAGGTTCATGTTCATCGGTAGCGATGATATTTATTTTTTAATTTTTTAATGGAAGGAGCTAATTTTATTAAGAATTAAAAATATATTAATTATAATAAAATATTACAATCATAATATTCATTAAAAATATAGTAAGAATATTTTTCTATAATCATTAAAATAAGAAAACTAGCTATTTAAGATAATGCAATGACCATGCAAGGAAAATGTTAAAAAATATAACTAAATAAGCTTGAATGAAAGGTAGACACGAATAGATCTTATCGCATCGGCAAACAAACAACAAAAAAAGATCAAATTATTAAAAGATTATCGACAAACTACAAGTCATAATCAAACGACATGAAAAAACTATCCGCGAACGCAAATTGTGTAACTAAATCCAATATGAGGGTTCAAAATAAGGAAGATCGACGTGAAAACGATAAGTGTCATATTGATCAGTCGTAGAGATGTCAAATCTAACATTAAGAAAAATAATAAACGAAAATAATAGCCAAATGACCGAAGACGTGTCATAAAGACAGGAAAATATACCATAAAGGTTGAGTTAATTACAAATTTAAAAACAATGGGAAAAAGCGAAAATGTACTATAATAAAAGAAAAGAAAAATAATTAATATCGACGATCAACAATCAACACCAAAATGATATTGTTGTCAATCACATGGTATTTGTTCATTTTTATAAATTTATTATTTATAAATTTAAATCTTAATATTTATTATTTATAATCTCAAATTAAAGTTTTCTCGTATAAAAAGTGAAAGACTAAATAGTTATACACTTGATATTGTGAATTAAGTACACTAAATTGAAAGAATAGTTACGTGATAAATATTTATAATATTTGATTCAGATTAATCGATTAATAAATTAAATTTAAATAATTAATTTAAAAATAGAAATAATATACGATATAAAAATTTATTGAATGATGTATAAAATAAAATATTAACATATAAAAATAATTTTGACGTGACAAAATATATCGAGTGTGAGGAAAAGAAGAGACTCATGTTGAGTTGTTACTTCAAATTCAAATAATTAAAAATGATACTGCCTCGATATAAATAATTAATTTGCAGTATGAGATTCAGATTATTTTTCAGTCAAATAAATGAACTAATCAGACGAATTTGAGTTTATCTTCCCAACTATTTTTTTAAAGTAAAATTATTAATTTTTTAAAATACCTAAAATCCTTAAATTACTCAAAATCCCTAAATTCTAAATCATATATGCTTTCATAAAATCAACCACCGCCTATTATCTCCTCTCTTCTATCATCATATACTCACACCGGCCGGCCACCAATTGCAGTCGAACATTATCGCCTAAAATAGAATGATTATAGAATTTAATCACAAAACTCATCGCATGAGAACAATTTTTTTATTCCAGCTATCACCTATTTGTCACTGTTAATGAGATTACACCACAACCCGAACCAAAACTGCACCTTTCGAACCTCCGCTCGCCAACAAATCTCCAACCCTTCAAGTGATTTGAGAATCCGAAGATTTGGGTTTTTTTTATTTTTAAAACATAAAATTTAGATACCTTAAATGATAACAGAAAAAACGTTAAACACCTACTTTAACAAAAAAAAAACTTTAAGCACCTAGAACAAACAATAGATACAGTTTGAGGACTTCTTTTTCAATTAAGCCTAAAAAAATAACACACTCATGTTAAACACCTGACAGTCGAATCTGAATTCGAATAATATGCAACCGTAACTGAATGTCATGTTTATCAAAGAGATTAGTGTCCGATATACATACATAAAGACTATTTCTTTGTTCAGATCTAAACATGGTTTCCCTATGTTCAAACATATAATTAGACAGAAAATGGACAACCAACTACAAATTATACATTGATGCCTTACAAATCAAGTGTCGGAAGCTCATCGCTGTACCTGTTCAGAGGTGTTAGTGGTAGATGATGTAGCAGTCCTGCCATTCTCTGTTCCATTATCGACAGGCACATGAAGTCCCCACTTCCTCTCCGCTTCCGAGGGTTCTATAACTTTAACAGCACCATTCGTCAATCCTACAGCTATTTGATTGGCTTCCTGCGGGTGTGACACAACCACGAGTGGGTGCACGGTTTGGCTGTCATAATAAAATACCAAAATCAGATGTAAGATCTCAGGTGCATGTTCCATGCAAAACTTTCTTAAAGCAAGTTGGTTAATTCAATCAGTTCGGTTATCAATTATATAAACCAACAATAGTCTGGATTAACATATTTAAACCGACTCATTCAACCAAAAACCAAACTGACCAAGCCAAATTAACCAAATATTGAGCAATTTGGTTAACTCAGCTTAACCGAGTTCTGCACAGCCCTACGCATCACAGTCAATAAAACTCTCTATCAATAGAAAATAAATGAGTAAACCTGAAGCAAATGACAGTGATATAGGCTGTACCTGTTTGATGATGCAGGAGAGATATACGCAGATGGTGCGATACGACATCTGAGTCTTAAACTATCAGCATCAAATACTCCAATGTTACCATCAGTAAAAGTAGCATATACTAGCTGGCTATTGCAGGAATATACTGCACACGATATAGATGAAGAAAGTACTTCTTGTGGCATCCACTGCAACATAAAATCAGGTGGTAAGAATTTGTCCACTGCGATGTAAAAGAAAGTAGAAATTCATTACATAAGGTGTCATAGCATTTTACCTGCCGAATGTATTCCATCTTGCTAGCATCATATATTGCAAGTTGTGTTTCATGGCACACTAACAACCGAACTTGGTCAGAGTGAAATTGAACTCGAGTGTCACCTGAGGATCCTTTCCAGCAGGCAATGGAAGTGTAACTGATTTTATCTTTTCCCAGTTATCAGTGTTCCAAAAGAAAATCTGCAAAATAGAAGGAATAGAATCAGCAGTAGAACAATGATAAAAACCAATCGCCATCAAAAATGGCTACAGCATAATGTCAGAAAGAAGTTCCTTTTCAGTCAACTGAAATCAATTATTTTCATTTCTTGCTATGTTACTCCAACTACTCATCTTCAAGAATCCATGTCCAACACCTGTACCCTATACATAATTCAGACAGGTAGGTATGGAGGTAGCATTCTCCATTTGAATGCAAACATTTCATAAAAATTGACTATACCCATATCAAATACATAACCGTAACTGAATGCTCACCCCTGACTCCTGAGCTCAAGTATCAAAAGAAAACAAATGCAGAAAGAAGTATCATCTGAACTCTTCAACGTTAACCGCATTTTTGTTATTAATAATGGAAGGTACAACCACAAAAACCAGACAGGAGTATGATGATGTAGCATACCTGAGCATCAGCACCAGAAGAAACCAGGATGTTAAGGCTGGTGGAAAATGCTAAACCGCTGATGCGCTTTTGATGACCCTTTAATTTTGTTTTGACCTAAAATTAAAAATGCACCTCTTTTTGTGTTAAATATCCAAAGATAATTCTATCGATGAAAGATACAAATATATACTTAAATAATCTACCTCATCCACCCTGACATTGTAAATATGGATGGCCGAGTCATCCATTCCGATTGCTATGATATTATTATCTTGCGGATGAAATGCCAAGAATGTTGAAGCTGGAGGAGGTGCCATAAAAGTTGTCATTACCTGCAAATCAATTCAACTTCATATCAAGTAAAAGATCATTGAAGACAGAATTAAGGTTGAAACTCCATGCTAGCTCCAGTAGTTTAAAACCCAAATCAGACCGGTTAAATCAACCTATTGGATTGGCAGTTCAACCACAGATTGATGCTGGAAACTAGGAAAACACAAGAACTGTCGGAAAGAAAATCAGAACCAAGAAACAAAAAAAATGGACAAAGGTTTAATTTTAAAATTTGTCTTTATCATTATATTCGTGCTTGGATCTTGTGAATATACTTTTTTCTTAATTTGTTTTGATTTTTCAATATTCTTATTTTATATTAAAAATTTTAACTACTATTAATTTCTTCTCTTTTTCATATTTTTTAATAAGCTTGAACCGTGAACCAGAGAGCCGAACAGTTCCGTTCAGGTTCTTAATCCTTAGCTAGCTCAAAAATTTTACTATTGATTTTTCAATATTCTTATTTTATATTAAAAAATGCACATTGATTTACCTTGAATGTCATCATATTAAATAACGAAACCTTTCCACCAGATGCAGACATTACGTAGGAGTCATTCTTCGACAGTGCTATGCATGGAACTGCATCTTCAGAATTTTCAGGGACATCATTAGTCATAAGAAGTCCACTGTTAGGTTGCCAAAGTTGTGGACCAATGCTAGCAGTAGCCTACAAAACCACAAAAGAAAAAAGATTATGCATGGAAACTTTTCTACCAATATCATAAGTAAAAAACTGGCATATGGACTATGTAAATTTGCATGTATATTTCAATGTATAAATATATCAATGCCTCCAGAGAATAAATCACCTTGCCAGTAGGATTTTGATCACAGCGACTCCATTTCCAAAGCTTTTGAACCCCATTTGTTCCAAGAGCAAGAACCCCGACACCAGAATTTGTGTAAAGAAGTCTAGCCACCTTGATATACATGAAATTAAATATTGATAGAAAATGATAAAATGAATAAGACATTTCTAAAAGATAATGTTAAAAAATAGAGAGAAATGAAAGAAAGAAAAACATTGAAGGAAAACCTTGCTAGCAGATTCCAAGTTATCTGGCATGGTGACTGTTCGACAATGTGTGGGGTCAACAATCTCAGTTAGTTCCCAGGGTTTGGTTTTATCAGGCACATGTTCCATATTCCTTGGCTTTTCCATGCCTCTAGTCATCAGTTCAACTCCATTCTACAAGATATTTTAACTCGACTTAGATGTCAGTTCGAAAAAACTAGTAAAATTGAATCAGTGACAAGCAAACTGAACTCCAATGATCAATAGGTCTATGAAACCTCTCAACTTTGTTTTAATAATCTTCTATGTTCTTTAATATGGGCAGAGCAAATGACACACATTCTCTAACCAAACCATAATATATCAACAGAGGATAAGGCTTAGTATATTGCAGCATACAAGACTAGGAGTAGGCCTGGCAAGGCTGTCTACACATTCTACTTTGCTAACAACCGGACCGATACTTGTACCCAAGGTACAAGCAAGAGCATAAGTTCATAATTTAACTTCAAAAAAAATAGTAATGTGATGGAATTATGATGAAAACATATAACCTTCATCTCAAGTGGTGTTCTAGATGCTTCATAAGATCGAGCCTCCATTACCCTTAAGGCTCTAAGACCATTGGTATTTGCAAGAACCTTGAATCCATTATCTGCTGTAGTAACAACAAGCAAATTTCCTTCCTTGTTGAATCTCAATCGGGGAAGACTCTACCATCCCAATATCAAGTAAGATAACCCAATTGAAATCACAGTATAAGTTCTTCAATCGATAAAAGATGTAAAAATAGGAAGGTCAAATGAAAAATGAGATGCTGACCGGTAGCCCTCCTTCAGCTTCAGTGCTGGTGAGAATATTTGTATTATCCATATGCCAAAACTTAATCTGGCTATCATCACCAACGGCTAAAAAACGATTCCTTGTGGTGTCAAATTGTACCACACCATTAGCATTCTTTCTAAAACCAGAATACATCCTCTTTATTTTCCCTTCACTTTCATTCCATTCAACCAAGAATGAATCCCCGTCCTTACTTGTGCCACAAGAGAATAGTCTGGCATTAGACACATGATAGTTAATTTATTACCATTCATATACAGCTTAGGAGATCTGTAGCATCAGGAAAATTCTAAGACCAACATTTTAGATGCTACTTTTTGAATTTCGTCCACATACCTATTACCATCAGCACTGTAGAGCATCGTGGTACACCACTGTCCAGGAGCATCATAGTCAACCCTAGAACCCATATTGTCATACAACCAAGCCTTGATTTTGCCATCTACAGCAGTTGAGAATATAAACTACAACATAACCGAAACTTCATTCAAAACCAATTCACAATTGGAGAAATAAACTATTGTCTATTCCATAACTCATTTATCAAGCTCAGTCATGATAAAAGCCGATCAACCAATTGTGAAACAGATCAAATATAGTGACAAATACAACAGATGCAATATGTTTTTCCTATACTTCTAGAAAGGTTATGACAAAACATGCACAAGCACCAGTTCCTTCTAATCTTATCTAGAGAAGGAACTCCTGCACACGACATCTATTATACACAAATTTCTCCAAAATTAGGATGGCACAGATTTAATAGTTGTCCATGTTACTCATGTGATGTTACAGATCTAGTAGTTTTCCATGTTACTAATGTGATGTAACTGCTGCTCTATGTTCTTATCACAAGATTAGAGTACACAAAATTTTCATCACAAGGTTTCTTGACCAACAGATAATAACCAATTGCAGCACATACAAAGTAGTTCTATATCCAAATACCGGCTTGTCCACAACAAAATACTTTCCCTTAAAGCATGAATCATCTCCTGATTATAGAAAGGACTAAAAAAAAGTATACCTGAACAGTTTCCTTCTGGTGAGGGCAAACAGAATAAACAGGTGCTTCGTGACCTTCAAAGTTAAAAAGCTTACTTCCAGCCAAATCCCACACCTATAACCATTACTGAAATTGAGAACACGTGAAGTTCAAAGAAAAAAAGAATAAACAGTCTATTTATTCACTTTATCACCTTTATTAACTTATCATCTCCACAAGTGACAACACAGAGCTTTTTGTTTGGAAGAGAGAAAGCTAAATCGTTTACACCACCCACATGGGCATCAATCTACACAAATATGATGGCAATTATCAGATTGTGTGCAAGACTAATGCCCTTTTAAGCAAAGAATAAGAAAATGAATCAGAACATGCCTCTAGATGTTGTCGTAGATCATGCGACCCTTGATACGCATGCAAGTGAACAAGATGTTTCATAAATGCAACTCCTGCAAAAAGAAAAGTTCAATATAGAAGCCCAAAATAGGACATAGTAGAGGAAAATCACTCTTACAGCTCATACCGATCAAATTTCCATCTGGACTCCAAGCAACACGGCTTACAGACATGTATGAATCTTTGACAATACTATCCTGAAAGAGACTCAATTATAATTCTATCAGATGTATTTTGCCAAATTCCAGCATTCCAGAAGTCGAAGTATAAGCATTTTAAATAAGATAGGAATACATGTGAAGGGAAAAAAATCAGTGAGTTGAATCAGCAGAACATTGTTTCTACTTGATGAATAGTTTTGATAGAGGAGAAATATTTTAAAGGAGATAGACAATTTCACAAGTAACAGAAACAAATTTGAATATTAAAACTACAATTATTGAAATAATATGCAAATAAATTGTATCAGTAATGCTACAATCTTCAGTAGTAACATATCAATTTTTTCAGTGAGTATTGACCTGAAATGTAACAGAACAAGCAGCCAGATCCCATATCTTGAAAGGTTTTGACACCAACCTCTCTCGCGTACCAACTTCCCATAACGAAATTTCACCGTTGCTACAACCAACTATTTAGGAAGTGCATAAAGCAAGATAAGAAAACACAATCCATGCAACAAAACTGAAGTAATGAATTTGATCTAGAATCAATAAGACAAAGATGGTTTGTACAGTTGTCATTGATTTTACCAGTAAGTAGCGTATGATGAGAAGGATGGAAATCCATGCTTGTCACATTGGATCCTTGGTGAATGGTACAAGCAACAGATCTGGGTAGGTCATCAAGTGACCATGAAGCTTGTTGAGAAGGAGCAGGATACGTGACCTGGACAGATTAATAAGAAAAATTCATATTGATGATCATATACCACAGAATAGTTGCAACACATGTAGGAAATATAAAGAACTGCTATGAAGAATATGAGATCTTAAAGATCTACCTCATCAACAGATTGCACAGACCGCAACCGTTTCATTAGTTGCTCGTGATCAGAGCTTCCATATTCGGTCATTCCAAGTGTATCTGGTGTTCTCGGATGTTTCAAACCTGAAGCTGCAGTAACAATTAAATCAAAGCAGGTTAGTAATGCTCAACCGGTGGTGTTCTAGGATATATTATTTTAACAGCTGACAAAACCATATCAAAATTTAAGACTAAGCAAAATGTACTTAAAGCAAGTTTAAGTAGTATATACAACCCAAGTTCTGGAGTCCTTTAACTCCCCTTAAATAAAGGTCGTTAAGAATAATACAAACAGAGAGCATAAAACACAAAGCATAAATGTAATCCGATTTAAGTCAATGAAAATTCTATTATCTGAGGGAAAATATAGGAACAGAAAAGTATCCCTCATTCCCTCCTTACAGATGATTACTTGGATGTTGGACTATCATTATGTACGCATCTGCCAAAATGCCAATTACAAAAAAAAACCCTTCAATTTTACCTTGATTTTGAGGAACAGGCAGTGATGAAGCAGAAGCAGCAATGACAGCAGGTTGGACTGGTGAAGAATGATTGGCATTTGCCATCCAGCCAGCTAAAGCATTAGCATTTGCAGCTGCTGCTGGAGGAAATGGCTGCAATACAGTAACATGAAACAAAAGAAATTTTGAACACCAGCACAAGAAACATGCATCAAGAACATCTATAACTCGGAACAAAGGTACACATTAAGATCATACCCCACTATGCGCTCCAAGTGGAGCATAAGTGGAAGGCTTAGCAACTGCTGCAACTGGAAAAGTTACTGGAGTAGGTGCCCGAGCCCCATTTAGAGGTGAACAACTATGATCAGTGAATAAGGTTTTGATATCAGGATTGGACCTAGGGTTCTTACACAGCTGGTGTTGCCAATTCAAACTGCAAATAAACAATGAGTTAGATACATCATCCATTTATAATAATTACAACTAAAAAAAGCCATGTAACAGATTTTTTTTTCAAAAATACCTTTGATTGATCAAAGTTCGCAATCGAGAAGCTTTCAATGTTGGGAAAACAAGCTTTTCACGGAACAAGGGATTCGCTTCTATTAGTTTCTTAAGCTCGACCAGCATTATGCTCCGAGCTGATTTAGTATCACCATACTTCGATAACTGCTCGTTTTGCCTACATTTTGTCAAACCCATAAGTCTTAAATTGCATAAATTCTACATCCAAGGCCACTCATCAAATTTTCCACAATATTAATTACCTAAAGTTCTCCATAGTTAAAAGCAGCGTAATTTCCTTATAAAGTTCTTCATTGAATGTGGAGAAAACCTTCAAATCTTTCGCCAAAATTTCAACAGCTCTAGCTCTATCATGGCTGAAATAAAACAAAAACCAAAACAACAGTATTATCATGTCAAAGCAAATCTCATATCATTCAATTTAATTAAGCAAAAAGAAAAAGAAAAAAAAAGAATAAATTACCGGTCCAGAGCTTCTAGATACTTCTGTTTTCTGATCTCAAAAAAAATCTTCATTGAATATCGATTATCGTCAACTTTAGTGAACCCGGAGAGGTATTTCTCAACTTCGTCCCATTCTCCGGCGAGAGCTTTCTCTTCGAAGTATTTCATGTTGAAGAAGAAGCCCGACTCTTGCTCTAACCTGTAATTTTTAACCAAACCGAGAACAAACTCCCATCAAAACGACATTAGGAACAAAAACGTAACAAATAAATAAAATGAAAATGAATTTTCAAGCTTACCTATGAACAGTCTCCTTGAATTTTTCTTCTTCCAGGAATTGAAGAATCAAAAACACTAATTCCCTGCTAAGAGACGACATTTCTTCTTATCCGATCGAGAATTCAAAAATTAGGGTTTTTGAATTCAAACAAATAGAGGGAAAGCGAGAAATCGGGGATTGAATCAAAAATGGAGGAAAAGTGGTGGTTGAAACGGCGGCGTTTGATGGAAGTTAGTGGAGGGTTTAAGGTAGAAAAATCGGTTCTTACTAGGACTGATTTTCTAGGGTCTGCGGTTCGAGTTCATGCTTTGGAGTTCAACGAAGACAGTAGACAAAATAAATTTAAAAGGCTGCCATTTTAATTAAATATAAATATACAATAGAGAGAGAAAAAGATAAAGTTGAGTTTCTCACCCTTTTCAATGCGTTTTTGCAGCATTACACCGACCTATCACTTCATTTGATGATAACTTATTATTGTAATGTAGAGAACTTATCATTAAATATATGAATAAGTTATCACTACACATGATAAAGTATCATTTCTATGTGATAAGATTTGATAAATTTATTTATAAAAACGTAAGGGGCCCGGTTCTAATTAGTTATTTTTTTGGGTTATGTTAATCTATTTACTTTTTATTAGGGTTGTTTAAAAATACTTAATTCAAATGATCTAGTTCATTGATCCGTTGGTTTATTTAAAATTGTCAGAAATTTAAGTGAAAATATCTAAATTTTTGGGTTGGATATCCGACCTGCTATTTTTGGTGAGTTTTTGGGTTGGATTGTAACACCCCCAACCCGTATCCGACCCGAATCCGAGTCTGAGGTGTCACATTGACTTTTCAAAACTCTGTTCTTTACAAATCCACCAAACTCTTAAATTCATCATTTGAGAAAATGAATACTTTACATTAATAAATACAATCAAATTGTTTTACAAACCGATCAGAGCATATTCGATACAAATCTTGTAACTACATGCCAACTAAATTCTATAAAACAAAACACATATATTTACCATGTTTATGATATGATATTCGTAAGGAAGATGCTAACATGTCTTGCTCCTCTTTACTTCTCTTCTCGCTTTTCAAACTTATGTGTGGTAAGTCGATGACTTAGTGAGGTATTAATGCATAAAGGTAACTCTAACCACTTAACCATGCATGAACATACCATATCATGTTATCACACACAAAACAATATAACATTACATACAATCAAATGTACACATATACACATCATTCATCATTTCCATCATTAACATTGTTTCACTATCAATATGATTATTATTTATATCTTGTAATCATATCCTTTTGTACCTAACGTTTTTAACCAACATGACTCATTTAAAATCGCAATACACATATCATCATTTAAATCATATAATACAATTCATTTCACCAAAAGCATATGCATCATATATCATATGTTTATTATTATCTTTTTGTTAGCCCATGTACATATGTGAGAACTATAATTATGTGAGTGTATAGAGGTTGTGCACTAATGATGTCATCACAACTCATATAAATGCACCGAAGTGCCACGTAGAATTGCACCTTAGTGCCGCGTAGAAATGCACCGAAGTGCCATATAAGATGTCCCTAAGGACCACATAGAAATTCCTTAAGAATCATATACATATGCCAAGGATCAAGTATGTGTCTCAAAAGGCCTCACACATGTTCCAAAGAATACATATATGTCCCGAAGTACCGCGTAGACCCTCGACTCTTGGCATGCCAACTGTACCTCTAGCTCTCATGACAAATAACATGGGCAGTAATATGCATGTTATTATACATTCACATATTCTTATCATATATACACATAATCTCATAGCTCTTTCACAAAGCTCATTATCAATTTTCATAAGATCATATCCAGTCACGTAGTTCATTTCCATATAATTCACATGTACTTATATTCTTTTTTATATAATCACGTAGTCATATAATATTTCATATGACCTCATATATCACATCACATATATACATATTAAAATACTCATAGTTACATAGCACTTTATTCTTATTTACATCATTCATGGTCATATAGCTTCTATCATAAAGTCACTTATCTTATCTCTTGTTCTGATATGTTCATATTTATCACATAACACATAACTTTTATTGCATATTTATATCGCATTCTTACATCACTAATTCATAATATAGTTTATATCGTATCATATATCTTATTCTTTATTTCTTGGCATGCACTTATATTACATAACCTATATCATATTTATAAACATATATCTTATATTATATGTGCATGTCATCACTTTATATTCAAGCTTCCTAAGTGATATATTATTCTCAGTTCATTCTATAATTCAATATTATCTAGTTTTCTTCAATTGTCCATAAATCATATAACTCTAATACACTAATTCTCATAATTGATCATACCACTATGTACTTATCTAACTCATGTTTTTATTTTTCATATGACCTTTACACATGTTTACTCAGGAATTCACTTTCATCATATTCTCCTATTATTACATATTTTATCTTATAACCATATATTCACCTAGTCTTGTATTTCATTATCATATAACTTATATTTGTTCTCTTATAACTCTTCATATTCATATATTTTCATTTTCATATATCGCATAAATCTTATCTCATGACTTATCTTTTATACTCATATAAACCACATAGCACATACTAGAACATATCCACTCATATAATCAAGCATGCATACATTTCATGTCATTCACACTCTTATGTTTATGGCTTCATGCACTAGACTTAGTGGAAATAGACTCATCACAAATCAAATTTCCATATAATCCTATATTCAAATAAGATGCACTCACCTGACCTCATTAGTCAATACCGATCTCTTATCTCTTCTCAATGACTATTACTTGTCAACTTGTCCGGACATTGCTCTCGATCGATATCTACACTGTAACATCCCAAATCAGAGTTAGTGACTAAAAAATAATTTTTGGAAACTTTGTGCTCAATTTTGAAACAAGTTAAAAGTTCAATGACTTAAATAGAAAAATCCAGTGTTATATTAAATGGTAATTGTGGAAATTTTGAAGGGTATAATAGTAATTTCGTAAGAAATATTTTTATTTCTCCTTTGTATAGGAGATGGCACATGGAAAGAGAGGGAAGAAAATAGAAAAGTCTACAGACTTTGGTTCAACCTTCTTATTCTTCTCTTCCCGTAAGCTCAATAGCAAAGGTAAGTTTAATTTCAGGTTTAATTTCAACTGGTTAATTCCTGAGTTTTAAGCTTAGTTTTGATTATTGGGGTGATAAAAAAGATTATTTAGAGATTAAAGCATGTTGAAACTTCAAAATGAATGAGTTACGAAGGATTAAATATGAAGAGTTTTTAAGTGAATTATTGAAATAGAGAGAGTTAGTATATTTTGAAGTTGAATTTGACTTGTCAATGATTTAATTAAGAGATATGAGGTGTTAGAAGTGGATTTAGAACATGTTGAAAAATTGAGTTTAATTTTTAAATCACATGGGTGGATAGGATTTTGAGGTTTAAGATGTGATAAATGTGTATTAATTGGTTTAAGTAAGAGTAGGTAAGTTAAGGATATGAAATGGGTTGAATTATGGCACAATTGAGCTAAGTTGAGTGATTTCCGTGCAAAAAAATTGGAATTATAGGCTAGTGCAACGGTACATATTCAACCTGTACCGATGCATCAAGGGTAAATTTCCAGAAATTGTTCAGTGTGTATCGATGCACAGGAAATACATCGATGCACCCCTTAAAAATGGAAACATCGAATGCAATTAGTGCATCGATGCATGGATAGTACATCGATGCACATATTAAGGGATGCATTGATACTCTGTAGAGTGTACCGATGCACTTCAAAGGGAAATAGAATTAGACCTTTCTTTTGGTCTACAAAATGATAGATTATAATACATTAATTAGATATTGATATGTATCAATGTATATTTATGTAGATTTTGAGCTTAAAGCAATTCCGGAATATTTGGCAAGTAAGATCGATCAAGGGAAAAATAAGTGATCGAATTGACTAGTGAGGCCCGATGAATGCATATTAGATAAAATATGAGGTTTAATGGAAATAAGACTTGCGAGAGTCTATTTCCTACCGTATTATGCATGAGTTCTTAAATATGAGCATTGTTTGTTATGAGTGTATATGTTAATGCATATGTTACATGATTTATATGAATATATGATAGTGTGATAGTCACAACGAACTGGTATAAGTGATTTGTATGATTATATAAGTTATACAACATGGACATAAGGAACGATATGAACATGTGCATATGATGTGTGAATATATATATGATATATGATATTTGTAAACATAAGAGAATATATGATAAACTATGAGATCACACGAAAATGTTATATGATATATGTGACCATATGAGGATATAACATGCAATTATATGCATATGTGATATGAACATGTGAAGACATGAAATGATAAGAAATAATGCCCATGTTATATGAGGTGAGAGCCATAGGTATAGTTGGCATGCCAATAGTAGAGGGTCTACGCGGTCCTTCAGACATATATGTATTCTTTGGAACATGTATGAGGTCTTTTGAGACACATATTTGGTCCTTAGCATATGTATATGGTTCTTAAGGAATTTTCTACGTGGTCCTTAGGGACATCTTATATGGCACTACGGTGCATTTCTACGCGGCACTTCGGTGCAATTCTACGTGGCACTTCGGTGCATTTATACGAGCTGTGGTGACAACATAATGCACAACCTCACAGTACTCATATACCTTAAGTTCTCAGTAATGTACATGGGCTAATAAAGAGATAATATAAATAAATTTGATATGATTGTTATGTAATTGTGTGCTTGAATATGAGTGTAATGGTTATATGTATTGTATATGTTATTATCTATGTTAAAAAATTATGTTCGTTTGATATGTTGGAATATATGAGATTATAATGAACTTATATGATATGTTTCAAGTAATTACATGAGAAATGTCATGAATTCCATAAGTATAGGTATATGTAATAAAATGATGGATTATAGGATTATATATATAGAATAGTTATGATTGTATAGTTAGAATATACTTTGTAGATGAACTAGTATAATAAAATTATACTTGGAAATGAGAATTTAGATAAATTAATGGAGATAAATAAATAGTACATCAAATAGGGAATATACATATAGAAATATATTGTATAGAAAATTCCATATGTTTCAATGAAATGATGATTTAAAACTAATTCAATTCTTAAGTGATATAAAACATAGTACAAAGATCTAGGAAATGAAATCATATGAGAACATTATAGAAATTAA